ATCACAATGAGTGAGAGAAGACCTGCTCAAAGAGCCTTCAGCGTGCATCTGATCTGGATTCAGCTCTGTATTTAAATATAGGTCAATAGTACTTTTGAGTAAGTGTGCTTTCTTACTATCCAGCGCTGCAGATCAGCTGTTTTCCTCCTTCAGATGGAGATGGAGATGAGTACAAAGTAGAGATGCTAAGCTGTCAGGCGTTCCTCTTATTAAATGATCAGCTCGGTGTGTATTGTCACGGCTCGCTGAGTTCTGGCAGCACTGAAGCCAGAAAGCGGCTTATCTTGATGGATGGGTTCATTATCACCTTCTAATTACAGGTGGATTTTCAGGTGGATTCATTACCCGCGCTGACCGGGTGTGTGTGTGTGTGTGTGTGTGTGTGTGTGTGTGTGTGTGTGTGTGTGTGTGTGTGTGTGTGTGTGTGTGTGTGTGTGTGTGTGTGTGTGTGTGTGTGTGTGTGTGTGTGTGTGTGTGTGTGTGTGTGTGTGTGTGTCCGGGGGTTACTGTTACAGCGGCTGAACTGCAGGGGGTCAGCTGGTGTGTGTCGGGGGGGTCCGGGGTTTCTGTTTCAGCGCTGCGGTGCAATATTCATGAGCTGTGAGGGGATCAGTGTGCTGCCTCCTCCACTCCATCAAACACAAGTGAGTGTGTGAGTGTGCGTGTCAGTGTGAGTGTGTGTGAGCATCTGGCTTTCCTGCACACACACACACACACACACACACCTGGTGCTTCATAAAACCTGCTGTATATGAGACTAGACATGAGTCTTATATTAGTCATTTTATGCATGCCTTCATTTTTGAGTTGGTTTGTGATGTCGGTTCTGAAGCTTGTGATATCTTTTGATTAAAGATACAAAGACCTGCGAATATTTACCTTCTCTAGTGAAGCACTGGTGAGTTTTTACCGTTTCTTTGTAGGCCTCTTAAGAAGTGAGCATCACCCTTGACTTCATGTGCTTTGTGGTCATGAGTAGAAAGTTGATTACAAAGGGTTACAGTTGAAAATGACGGCGTCCAACAGGTGCCCAAAACTCCTCCATCAGGAGAGACACGCTGCAGCTTCAGAAAGGATGCAGATATAAAAACCCAAATGTTCCACCACTTGACAACACATGCAGCATTTAGAGAACATTCAGCAACTTGAGGAAGCATCCTCATCTGCATGGGTTTGTGCTTTTTATTAACTGCTAATGAAAGTGTTGTCGAGCTGTTGCACGCGTCGGCCACTGTACACATTTCAAATATTCTGTGCTTGAAATTCAAAGGCTTTTATATTTCAAAATCAGATGGAAGTCATTAAACGTGGGAGTAAATGAAGGGTCCCTACAACAAAAAGCAGACTTAGATTAAGGCATTGAGTGAAGTAGCGCTTAACTTGGAGTTACAAATAAAACAGGTCAACACCGGCCTTGCATATCTTTCTCAATCTCCTCCGTTAATAATAAAACCTGTTTTATTCTCTGCATTAAATCAGGAGGATGAAATAGTGCTGATGTCCCTGATGGTTATCATGTGTTCATAAAGGAGAGGAAGCTCTAACAGGAGTTCTTGTTCAGCATATTGCACATCTTTAATGGAATAGCTGCCCACAAATTAAAGGAAAACTTTCATTGAATTATTGATGAAGTATTAATGAATGCATGTTAAAGTGAGTGGACACTAACAAGCCTCAGATCCGTGCTCCGATACTCCCCGAGCACCGAGGATAACCACGAATCAATGTCTAAATATATCTATTAAAAACCGGTATAGCGCAAAATGTGCATGTTTCTCCAGAAAAAGACAATGAACGCTGATGGTGTTGAGGATTATGTGAGCTAAAGCTAGCATGGCTAATCAGTTGGGGACTGTTTTAAGCTTCTAATAATATCACTTGGCTCATGTGTAAAGAAACTAAATCTGCAGACTGTACATGATACTAGCATGACAACAGAATTAAACATAATTGTTCCCCAGAAGACCCCTGTTTAGGATCATTAAATTAACCCGCATTTTAATGTTAGTTAACTTGCTAGCAGCAGAGCTCGAGGAAAGGTGTTTTCAGTCCGTTTGGCAGTCCTATTAGTGGGGACATTTGGGCTGAAATACTAAGAGATGTTGGGGTTTACAGGGTTGATCTCGCCCTGGATACAGCCTTACAGGTCAATTTCCATTTAATTCCATTCAGATATTTAAGGACATGTCTTCTTGTGTCCAGCTGACAGTCTTGTGACCATTAAAGGTAGGGCAGGTAAGAATGGAGAAACCAGCTCGAGTGCGCTAGAATTTGAAAGTATACAACCGAAAAAAATCTGCCCCTTTCCTTCAGACCTCCTTATAGAGCCCCTCCTCCAACACACACGAACGCGCACATGACCAATGAGGGCACGAGATAAGTTTGTGCACAGATGGAAGGCTGACAGGCAGGTAGGCCATCCAGTTATTTTAGCCGGGCCGGCTCAGATGATTGGTTGTGCTTTTTACAGTACCACGGCTTCCACAGATGATATTTTTTATGTATTTATTGTCAAAGCGTTTAATGTATTCATTGCTATCGGGATGTTAAGAGCATTCCATGGAATATAACAAGTGTTTCTGAAATAAATGACATACCCCACCTTTAAATGTATGATATGCATGTCTTAATTTGGCACCAAAAGTCATTTATGCATTTTTTCTTGTCAAAATATCTATCAGACTATCATCGATCTACATTATATTGTTAATTTATTTATCAGGGCCCTAACATCTTTATATTAACAAATGCTATTTAATCTAGCCGATACAAAATGATGACCTCTAACCTGTAGTGCTTCTCGTAAGTCATTATGTGCAATAACAATAACGTTTAATGCATTATGAGGGCATGATGATGAGTGTAATCACAACACGATATAATGAGCTTAATGTGCTCAGTCTGTAGGAGGTAACGTGTTTAATGGAGCTGCTGGACATTAAGGGACCATTACATTCAAAGAAATAGATATGTGGCTCTAATGTGAATAACTAAGTGATTATAATGCATCAGTACTCTTCTCTATCAGTGTGTAGTGTCTCTACTTTAAAGAGTCCCCCCCTGCTGATGTTCAGGTGTATATCAGTATGTAGTGTCTCTACTTTAAAGAGTCCTCTCCTGCTGATGTTCAGGTGTATATCAGTATGTAGTGTCTCTACTTTAAAGAGTCCTCTCCTGCTGATGTTCAGGTGTATATCAGTATGTAGTGTCTCTACTTTAAAGAGTCCTCTCCTGCTGATGTTCAGGTGTATATCAGTATGTAGTGTCTCTACTTTAAAGAGTCCTCTCCTGCTGATGTTCAGGTGTATATCAGTATGTAGTGTCTCTACTTAAAGAGTCCTCTCCTGCTGATGTTCAGGTGTATATCAGTATGTAGTGTCTCTACTTTAAAGAGTCCTCTCCTGCTGATGTTCAGGTGTATATCAGTATGTAGTGTCTCTACTTTAAAGAGTCCTCTCCTGCTGATGTTCAGGTGTATATCAGTATGTAGTGTCTCTACTTTAAAGAGTCCTCTCCTGCTGATGTTCAGGTGTATATCAGTATGTAGTGTCTCTACTTTAAAGAGTCCTCTCCTGCTGATGTTCAGGTGTATATCAGTATGTAGTGTCTCTACTTTAAAGAGTCCTCTCCTGCTGAGGTTCAGGTGTATATCAGTATGTAGTGTCCTCTACTTTAAAGAGTCCTCTCCTGCTGAGGTTCAGGTGTATATCAGTATGTAGTGTCTCTACTTTAAAGAGTCCTCTCCTGCTGATGTTCAGGTGTATATCAGTATGTAGTGTCTCTACTTTAAAGAGTCCTCTCCTGCTGATGTTCAGGTGTATATCAGTATGTAGTGTCTCTACTTTAAAGAGTCCTCTCCTGCTGGTGTTCAGGTGTATATCAGTATGTAGTGTCTCTACTTTAAGAGTCCTCTCCTGCTGATGTTCAGGTGTATATCAGTATGTAGTGTCTCTACTTTAAGAGTCCTCTCCTGCTGGTGTTCAGGTGTATATCAGTATGTAGTGTCTCTACTTTAAAGAGTTCTCTCCTGCTGATGTTCAGGTGTATATCAATATGTAGTGTCTCTACTTTAAAGAGTCCTCTCCTGCTCATGTTCAGGTGTATTTCAGTATGTAGTGTCTCTACTTTAAAGAGTTCTCTCCTGCTGATGAACAGCTTTAAAATAGATGTTGTTCAGCTCACAGATCTTGATGGAAACTAAACTTGTTTTGAAATGTTAGACTTGGTTCTAGTATCTTTCGGTGTGTATGGCCTTATGCAACAATGATGTAACCAACTGAGTGTGTGTGTGTGTGTGTGTGTGTGTGTGTGTGTGTGTGTGTGTGTGTGTGTGTGTGTGTGTGTGCCATATTTGATCAACGAATATAAAGAAAACAGTGTATGATATAATGATCAAACTTCATGACCTCTGTATTATATATTTTTTTCTCAACACCTGTCTTTTTCCTCAATACCTTTATTTATTTATTTTTGTACTTTTATTTTCTATTGTTCTTACATTTGTGTGTCCCAGTGTGTAAAAGTCCTCCTCCTTCACGGTGCACCTAGTTACACTTCTTCTGCTTTAATAAATACAAAAATCTGCTTCTATTATGTATTATGTATTATTTATTTTATCACACTGTATTTCCCCCTCCGCTGCACTTCTCCTCCCCGCCGGCAGGGGTCTGGGTCACGTGAAGGTCAGCAGCAGAGAGGGGTTCACTGAAAGTTCATGCGCATATATTAGGCAATTCAATCTTTCACTTCAGTGGCAAAACTAGTTGGAAATGAGCTGCGCGCGGAGGGACGGATAACCCATTCGTCATCGGAGAGGAGAAGGTGTGCTTTTTAAACTGCGCGTTATTTCTGATAAAAGAGGAGAGACATCCCGCAGCTGCACGAGACTCAGTGTGAGGAAACACATCGGGATATCATCGTTATTATTATTATTATTATTATTATTATTATTATTATTATTACATATTATCATGAGGAAGAATGCGCATGTGTCCGTGGAACGCCGCGAGGACATGGAGCATTTAGAGGAGCGTTGTCTTCCGAAATAATTCATGATTCCGTTGCGGGACGAAGCAGAACAAGAGGATCGAAATCCGCGGTGCCAAGAAGAAGAAGAACAAGAAGAAGAAGAAGAAACAGAAGAAGAAGAGGGAGAGGAGGAAGAGGAGGAGGGGGGACAGTTTTTGATGGAGTTGTGTGCGCTTATGCCGCTGATATTTCTCCATTACGCGCAGGACTAGTTGACCGTCACCATGTTTGACTGCATGGACGTGCTGAGTCCCGGGCAGATGTTGGATTTCTACACCTCGAGCCCGTCCTCGTGCATGCTGCAGGAAAAAGCTCTGAAAGCCTGCATCAGCGGACTGCACGCGCACAGAGAGTGGCAGCACCGCCGGAGCGCGCACTGTAAGGTCCAACTGTGTGTGTGTGAGAGAGAGTGTGTGTGTGTTGTTGTTGTGCTTATTATCGCTGCAGGGGGACAGGTAGGGGTCACAGAGGGCCTGCAGGGGTCATAACTACTGCACAACTGGACATTAGATCGTTTTATTAAGTAAGTGTGCTTTTGGGAACAGTTCTCATGGATGCATTATGATATATTAGGAGTATTACATCCTAAAAAAAACACATGGGCTGTGTTTCTGGAGCAGATCTGGTTCAGTAAAGTCTATTTTTGTCGGAGTGTTTAAGTTGTTTTGAAGCGTAAATACACTCCTTTAGTTGTAGGGAAACTCTTTGGAACCGGCATTTTAAAATGTAAGGAATAATGAACCTTAATGCAGGTGTGATGATTATGTTGACGGGTGATTTAGATTGGGAAGTGTCCTTTAGGGAAACTCGTGGGTGATACTTCATAAAACTTCAATATGCATTATGAAGTATTAGGAGGAATGAGTCTTAATAACTACATGAGGTGTGTTTGTGGAGCAGATCTGATACTGTATGATTCAGTGTGTTTTGGTCTAATTAGACTAAGGGTTTGTCAAGCGTAAAACAACTCCAAAACTCTTGAGGAAAGGACGCTTAGGTTAGTAATTCTGTCTGTTAAAAAGTAGTTTTCCGATGCGTAAAAACACTCCTTCAGGACTCTTTGCAGGCATGAATGCATCATAAATATACTGGGGAGAACACACTTTAAAGCAGGTGTGATCATTCCTGTGGAGGGGTTAATTTAGAGAACTCTGAGGGACGCATGGATGCCTCAGTGACATGATGGAGGTCAATGTGTCTCGTTGAAAAAGTAGTTTTTTGATGCGTTAAATTTGATTAAAGTCTGCAGACCATGAAGGGTCACCACCGTTTAAAGCGTCACTCTACAGGTGTCTAAGTGGCTGGGGGGATTAGATCATTCATAATAAGGCAAATTAGGGAAGTGTCCTTTAGGGAAACTCTTCGTAAAAAAAAAAAAAGCCTGGATGCGTTATACAAAATATTAGGAGGAAAACGTCTTAAAAAGCAGCTCGTGGACATGATTAAGTATATTTTAGTTTGATAAAAAGGTTGTTTATGATGCGTAGAAACACTCTTATCATATGTATATTAGGAGGAGGAATAAAGACTAAACATCGGGTTGTATTTCTGCAGCAGCTCTGATACGACACAGCGAATGTTGTCTGATTCAAAAAGTTGCTTTTAATGCGTAAAAACACTCCTTTAGAAATGACAAGAGTAAAACAGGACGCGTGGTTTTAATGCTTTGTAAATATCACGAGGATTAAGTCATACATCACACAGCTCAGAGACATGAGGAAGTAGATTTCTGTCCGATTTTTTATGCGTAAAAACACTTCTTTAGGGGGGGGGGGACTCTTTGAAACAGGATGCGTGAATTCATTATTAAATATGAGGAGGAAAAAGTCTCAACACGGAGCTCAGAGACATGAGACTATTTGTGTCCGATAAGAAAGTGGCTTTTTTTTTTTTTTGCGTAACAGCACTTTGCAGACGTCATGTTTCACTCATAAATCGTGCGGCTGTTCTCAGATCAGCGCAGAGTAAAACCTTCCTCCTCCTCCTCCTCCTCCCTCATTTAGATTAATGACAGCTCGCACTTTTCTCCAGGATTATGTAGAATGGGCTCCGTTGATGGATCACTGTCCACGAGACTAAAGGGTGCGTTTAAAGACAGCTGGGAATACTGGGAAAACTGGGAGAGTAGAAGGAAATGTCATGAATACCGTGTAGGTCACATGTGTCAAACTCAAGGCCCGGGGGCCAAATCAGGCCCTTGGTGGATTTAATTTCGGCCCGCAGGATCATTTCTAATTACTATTAGATCTGGCCCGCCGGTATATTGCACGCACACCTTCACTCCATCCTGAGGGTCTCCTCCGCTCAGAGCCTGACCCCAAACATTGATGAACTTGCACCCAAGATAAGATGCCAAGTATCTGAACTAGCATCACAGAGCAGCACACTGAGTTTACATGTTTCCTTCTGCACTTTTTCTCTCACGACAACAGGGCATGTTTGGTTTGTTCTTTGAGGGAAATAGTTTTTTTGAAGCTGTTGTTGGCCTGTGGAGAAATGTAATCATAAGAAATGACTCTGGACAAGCTGCAGATCGAGCCATAAGAAATGAATGCAACTGATTATTTAATGTTTAATGTTGTTTTTATAGGCAATAATTTAAGCTTTGTTAGTTCCAGGTTTAATATGTGCAATAAGTTCATTTCAATAAGTTCTGCAATAAACATTGAACCAGTCCGGCCCTCGAATAGTACCCATTTTTTAATTTTGACCCACTGTGTATTTGAGTTTGACACCCCTGCTTTAGGAGATCATATGAGGATTGTGATAGTGGCATGTAGGTAAACATCTGTTTTATAATGTGACATTTATTCTAGGGAATTGTATTTATGTAGTTGATTGAGGTCCTTAAAAACAAAAATAAGAATAATTAACATTTTCAATGAAAGGTCAATTAAATATTTCTTTAAATAAACACAAGTTAAAATGTGCAATAAATCGAATTAATGACCAATGATGATTTAGCTTTTATTCTAAAATCCTCCGAGTGTTGCAAAGATATAACCATTAAATTAAATTATTATAAAATATAACGTTTTCACGCCGACGTCACTTGTTATAATTCCAGATTTTCGTAGCTTTTCTTACTTTTATTGTGAAAGTCCTCGCGCTGTGGGTCACTTCCTGCCCTCTGCTCTGTGTTGATTGGTCTTCTCTGATCACCTCCAGCCGTCACTCCTCAGCAGGCGTTTGCTCGAGGGCACGCAGGCAGAGAGGCTGAGATCAGAGGAGAAGTGACGGCAGCCATCTTTAACCCGAGCCGCTTCACTGGGATGATGGAAGACTTCATCAATCAGCTTGTGATGGATTAGTGTGTCAGATAAATGCTCCTAACGAGAGTGTGAGGTCGCGTCTTTAAATGACCTTTGAGCGTTTCAAACAGAAACACTTCATCAGAATTTTTGCTTTAAAACTGATTATTTTCTGGCAGTTTATAATTGTTTAATCATGTAATCATGTCAGCGGTTTAAACCAATAATATAATACAATTACAATCATTTCAGGGATTAATTAGCTGCCGGTTCACTTATTTATTTGGCTTCTTTTAATACCGATAATAAAAAATACAGCAGAGTATTTAATTTCTTATTTTATGTGAATCGGCGTTTAATATTGATTGATGAAGTTGGTGCGTAAACACAATCTGAAATACTGAATTGTTGTTTATGAATCAAATGTATGGGAACAAATCTGACAAATATTTCTAGTTTTTTAAAACCTCGGAAAATGGGACTTCCTATTTGCAGATTACCGCTTTAAAGGTGGGGTATGTAATTTTGGAGAAACCGGCTCGAGATCGCTAGAATTTGAAAATACACAACTGGAAAAAATCTGCCACTTCCTTATAGAGCCCCTCCTCCAACACACACGAACGCGCACATGACCAATGAGGGCACGAGATAAGTTTGTGCACAGATGGAAGGCTGACAGGCAGGTAGGCCATCCAGTTATTTTAGCCGGGCCGGCTCAGATGATTGGTCGTGCTTTTTACAGTACTACAGCTTCCACAGATGACATTTTTTTATGGATTTTTTGTCAAAGCACTTCAGATATTCATTGCTATCGGGATGTTAAGAGCATTCCATGGAATATAACAACAAGTGTATCTCGAGCCGGTTTCTTAAACTTACCTACCCCACCTTTAATGTAATTTAGCCGATCAAATGATTCTATATTATCACGAGTGTCTCAGATCCCTCCGTGCATCGAGGCGCTTTGACAGAACAGTCGTTTATATATAAGAGCTTTTATGCACCTGTACAACAAAAAGACTCGTTCATTTGTTTTTGGATATTATCTATTTGAAAATGTTCTATAATATTGATAATTATATATTTTTTAGCGTTTAAAATAGTTCCTATGAGTTGTAAATTATTGCATTTCTTTCATGACGCTCTAATTGATTAGTTATTCCTGTCATTCATCCACGGAATAACTAGCTGTCAATATCCGCCTGTTGTCATGTTTTATAGTATTTTTTTAGAAGTAGAAGTACTCAGATCTTGTACTTGAGTAAAAGTAGAAGTACTCAAATCTTGTACTTGAGTAAAAGTAGAAGTACTCAGGTCTTGTAGTAAAAGTAGAAGTACTCAGATCTTGTCCTTGAGTAAAAGTAGAAGTACTCAGATCTTGTACTTGAGTAAAAGTAGAAGTACTCAGATCTTGTACTTGAGTAAAAGTAGAAGTACCAGAGTGTAGGAATACTCTGTTTCAGTAAAAGTCCTGCATTCAAAATGTTCCTCAAGTAAAAGTATAAAAGTATTCTCATCAAAATATAGTGAAAGTAGCGACAGTAAAAGTAGTCATTGTGCAGATTGGTCCATTTCAGAATAATATATATGATATGTTTTATAATGATTGATCATGAAAGTGTTCTCAAAGCTGGTAAAGGTGCAGCTAGTTTGAATGACTTTGTATACTGCAGGGTAGCTTGTGAATTTACTCCAGGTGGATCTAAAGTCTGATTTAACACTTGATTATATTTCACATCATTCATCCACATCATGATTTTATTTGTGTGTTTTCTCACGCCAAACCCCCCCTCTTTGATCTGAAGCCCCTCTCAGGGTCAGTGGAGGTGAAGCTTCTTTCTTTGCTCAGATAACGATGAAACCTCCTGGGTTTTAATTAGCCTCATCGACAGCGAGCCGTCCGTTAAAGCTCTTCCTCTCAGAGTTTAGATGTTCATTAACGATGATCAAGGAGCATTTACTCGGATAAAACGGCTTAACAGACGAGGCTGCACAACAAGGGGAGTTTCAGAATAAAAGTCCTCATTTAGGAAACTCAGTATTTTAATATGTCCATTAATTGTGTTGACAGCGCTGGTAATGCAACAAAAAGAAAGTCCTAATGAGATGCTTCATAACATCCAAGAA